GCAGGTCGAAGAGTTTCCAGGCTGAAGTACCCACACAGACATAGGCTGGAGTTGTGAGGATGAGGAACTGAAGTGCAAAGATTTATGGCTCCATCCAAAAAGAAATGATCTAGATTTATTTTGAAATTGAAGAGGATGCCTATCCATGACTGGAAATAAAAGGGAACTAGAATTCAGTTCCTCTAACAAAGCTCCATCTCAAGCTGCAGGAGCCACGAGGTGCCAAAGATGCTGCCAGCACTGAGGCACAGGGGAGGACCAACACTTAGAACCATTAAGGTTGGAAAAGACCACCAAAATCATCTAGTCCAATCATCCATCTACCACCAATATTGCCCACGAAACCATGTCCCTAAAGCTTGGGCTGCTCTGAGCTGTGTCAGCCCCAGATGGGGTTGTTTGGGTTAAAAACCAGTTTTCTGACTTCTGGCAGATTCCCAGCTGGGGAGCTTAAAAGTAACAAAAATAAAGCAAAAGCCACCTAAACATTTGGACTTGGCAGCAGCTGAGTGAGAAGCTTGAATCAGGATTTTTTCAGCTCACCTCCATCTCTGTCTCTAATTGCACGTAGCCCTTAACAGCTTGCCTGGCATCCCAGAGGGGCTGAGCCCAAATCAGGCCCTGGTTGGGATGTGAAGCAGCCACTCGATGAGCTCGAAGCATCCCTCTGCCCCAGGCAGGAACATCTGCACTCTGCAGCCCCATCCAAATAACATTCTGATGCTTCACCAAGCCTTCAAGCATTTCTTCATTTAATACCATCTGTGTGTGGTTTAATTTTAGCCCCATTCTTGTCCTAGCCATTGTGGACGTGGGGAACATATAGTTCCATCCTGACTGATACAAAGCAAAAATACAAAAAGGCGAGGAGGTAGCAGACTGATTCTGTGAAGCTGTGAATCATAGAACCATGGAATATCCCAAGTTGGAATGGACCCATGGCAGCATTTTATAGTGAGGTCAAAAAAGGGTAGATGGACCATGCAGCCAAATCCTGAGATCTTCCTGAATCAGCCCAGGGAGAATATCCTCACTGGTGCAAACTGAATGGTGCAAAGTAATGGTTAGGACACATTGAGAGCTCCACCTCATCAGCACGCTCTTTCCCAGCTGATTTAATTAGGCAAAGCCAAGAGAAAGTCTGCCAGCTCTTGCAGATTATGCCCTAAAAGAAAACATAGTTGGCAAGGCACTGAGAAATGCTATAAGCAACTGCTTTCCCTCCATGCTTCCAGGATTTGGAACAGTTGTGCCTTCTACTTGTAAAGGAAGGGAGGGAGAGATTGTGATTTCCTCTCCATAGAGGCCAACTCAAATCCATATTGTACTTCGTAGTCATAGATGCAGCATAAAAGCTCAACTCCATGACTTCAGGAGAAGGACTCATGCATGGATCTGCCTTAAAAATGACCCTAAGCCCCCAAATAGTCCACCACAGCACATACAAAAAAAAAAACAGCTACTGATTGCTATTGACTTCTAGTGGGATGGGGTATCTCATCACTCATTAGACCTCTGAATTAGACTTTTAAGGGCATAAGCAGCTTCTTTTCAGCACTTTCCTCTCTAGAAGAGTTCAGTATCTAAAAGGAGTCTATAAACAGGAGGGAAGTCAACTCTTTGAAAGAGTAGATAATAGTGGGACAAGGGGAAGTGAGGAAGGGGGAAGCTGAGGGAGGGAAGATTTCAATTGGATATCAGGGGAAAGTTCATTACTATGAGAGTGGTGAGGTGCTGGAACAGGCTGCCCAAAGAGACTGTGGATGCTTCGTCCCTGGAAATGTTCGAGGCCAGGTTGGATGGGGACCTCAGCAGCCTTGTCTGGTATTAAACGTGGAGTTTGGTGGCCCTTCATGCAGCAGGGTGGTTGGAGCTACGTAATCGTTGAGGTCCCTTCCAACCCAAGCCATTCTATGAAAGTGTTTTGTTGGGAATGACAGAAGTATCACACTCATTGCTCAGATGGAGTTTTCATCACACATCCCCAGTGGGGCATCATATATTGCCGTACCATCCAGATTTCTCTTAATACCAAAAAAAAAAGCCATCACAGGCTTTGGGCCCATGTGCACTACATTTTTGGAACACGCTTACATCACAACAAACCAATCACAGGCTTGTTTATGAATAACTAACCTCCAGAAAAGTTCATTTTCAATGCTGCAGTCCAACATCTGCTCTTGGCCAGGGTATGGAGCTTGATAAATAACGTCAGTTACATAACACAAATGGAAATTGCTTGGTTACAAATCTAAAGCCTCTGATGCACGTCGTTCCTGAAACATTCAAAATAAAGCATTTCGCGTGTCACAGTTCACCCACTGCTGCATTATCTCATTAACTATCTCCTCCAAACAGTCTGGGAAATCAAATCCTGCTGAAAATCCACAGATTTAGGGCACTTACAGGGGTTAGATGGCATGGCCCCAAACCTGAGCTTCTGTATAAATAGATGCATGGCATTCCTCATCTTTTTTTGGTCATATTGAGCTGGAAAATGCATCCTGAACCAGAAAGAGCAACATCCTGACCCATTCCTAGCTGAGCTGCCCAGTCTACATTTCTTTTCTGCATCATTCACTGAGCAAAGGGAAGAGATCCCTGTCCTGCTCCACAGCCAAAAGCAATTTCATGTGATCGACACCAAAAATAAAGATACCACTTTACCAGGCACCGGAGCCTCCATCTCCTAGCAACATTGCCCCTCCCCAGAATCGCTCCTGCTGGAGAGCACAGCTCCAGGTGCATAGATGAGATGGCTGGGAACACAGATGTATGTGCACAAAATATGTGTGCTCACAGAAATGTACTTAACATCAGAGGAAAATGAAGGAGAAGCCCCCACCTGGGGCACAGGGCTCCATTCCTGCTGCACGCTGGGCTCTTGGCTCACCCACCTGGTGCAACGTCTGCACTGAGCAATGGGATCCTGGAAATGTTAAGCATAGAAAGCATATCCTGTAGAGCACAAGCTTGATTAGTATTAACTCAATATTTCTATTTACCAATGTCTGTGTGTCCAATAGGCTAAATGCTCACAGTGCATCAGTCTGCTCTTGAGATTTAGTCACCAACATTTAGGAAAGAAACAAGAAGGCAAAGCAGCTCATCACCATCCAGCAGCTCCCATTCAACATGTGAGCTCAACCACCAAAACAACACCATCCGTGCTCTCACTTATTTGTTGTGGTGCTTCGTTCAGGCAGTCAGGGCTTGCCAAGACTGGAAGCAGAGATCAAACAAACCCCACAAGCTCCTGTGTGCAAAGAGCAGAGAGAGCCGCTGAGATTTTGCTCAGCAGAGGCTTGCAGGGATGGACATGCCTGCAGCTGCCTGCAGACCCTGCTGGGTTTTCATCGGCTTTCCAGGAGATAGTGCACTTTAGATAAGGCAGTCATTTTGTTATTTGTAACTTCTCTTATGCCTTGGTGCACATCTCTTGCTCTGATGGAGCTGATACGGTTTCACTGCACCACGCGTGGTTTTATATCACAGCAACTTTCTTGTTTCTACCCTGAGATTGCTATTTTTATTTATATTAATGGGTTTGTTGAATTAAATTGTCTTTTTTATTATTTATGGCAGTACAGTTGCAGAGGCTGGTCATTATTTTATCACACAGCTATTGTTTAAACACATATTCCCATTCCAGTTTCTCAAATAGCTCTATTATTTTAGAGTGTGGATTGCCTTTCTTTTGGGGTTACAGCTGTCTTAACAAGTAAAAGGGGAAATTTTCATTACAGGAGAGAGCTGGGACTGTTGAATGAGTGTTTCCTTCTGGACAGGTTTTCTTCTTTTTTTTTTCTTCTCATTTCTAATGAGACAGAAACTACAGCAAGAAGAATCAGCCCACTTAACAAAGCTGTGTTATTATCTAATTTACAACATTACAGCAGCAGACTGTGGGCTGTCCCATGGCTGGAATGCAAAGGAATGGGTAATTCCATCATTAGGATGAGCTGTTAGCCCATGAGAAGCAGCAGCTGACAGCACTGCCAGGGTGTGGAGATGGTTTCAGCTGGCTGCACTACTGATGGATTCATGTTTTCTTCCCTGTGAATCTGTTTTGCTCCTTTGTACTACCACAGCTACGAACCCATGGGGGCTTCTGTTGCTGCTTTGCCAAGTGCAAACACTCAGCCACCACCACATCCTTACAGCTGCAAACAGTGGGCACCACCATCACCCCAAAACAGCACATCTGCTTACCCCCACACACAGCATCTCCATCTCTGCAGCTCAGGGCTAAGGGCAGCGAGGAGGCACCCACATTGCCACCTCCCTGCCACCTGCCCATCTCCCAGCCCAAGCAGCATCCCTGCTGTGGGGCTGTGCCCTATCAACTGGATGCAATTGGCCTCTCAGGGGTCACCCCGTGCAAAGCGTCACCATAAGCTGAGTGTAACCCCAAGCTATGCCATAAGGAAGAATCAGCCCATGGAAAATATGCCAACAGGAGAACACCCCTCGTCCTCAGGGCAGATTCATCCCCAGGTAGGTGTGGCATCCCCAAACGGGTGCACCTCCAGGCAGGTGTGACATCCTCTGAACAGGTGCCCCCCCCCAAGCTGGGGGTACCATCAGGAGGCTGCACCCCTTGGCCAGATGGCACTCCCTTCTTCACCCCCATACAGACCCCACCCCCCAGAAGGCGGAGGCACCCCAAGGACAGCGTCCCCACCCCAATGCAGGGTGCACCCTAGGGGCAGCGTCCTTCCTCGGAGGCTCCACCCCGAAAGCGCGCAGTGTCGCTCCCAAGCAGGTGCCAAACCCAGGGGCCAACGTCACCCTACAGCGGGTGCTTCTCGTCGAGGTGCCCCCCTCTCCATCCCCATCCCCACAAACTGCCCCCAGCCCCGGAGCGTGCCCTTCCCCGCCCCCGTGCACCCTGCACGGCCCGGCCCGCCGCTCCCCGCTGCGCACGCCCGATCCGAGCCGTGCCGTTCCGACCCGAGCTGTGTCGTGCTGTACCGTGCCGGCCCTGCGCATTGTGGTCCTCCGCCGGGGGGGCGAAGATGGCCGAGAAGCAGCAGAAGCACGACGGGAGGGTGAAGATCGGCCACTACGTGCTGGGGGATACGCTGGGGGTCGGCACCTTCGGCAAAGTCAAGGGCTGAGTACCGAGGGCTGAGGGGAGGGCGGGGGGGAACCCCTCCGTGCCGAGCATCATCCGCGGGGCGCGGCGGTGGGGCGGGAGGGAGGAGGTGACCCCTTCCCTGGGAAGGGGTGAAGGGGTCCTGGGCAGTTCCTGGAGGTGCCCCCCAGGGCAGCACCCACCGAAACTTTCCTCCCGCGGCGGCAGGAAGGTGATGCGGGGGGTGGGTGCCCGGGCCGTGGCTTTTCGTTGCCGTTTGAAGAACGCTTAGGACCTAGGGGGTGGGAGGTGGAGGGTGAGGAGGTTCCGCTGCTGCCCCCACCCACTGGGGGGGCTCAGCGATGGGGCCGAACGGGGATGGATGTCTCTGGTTCACGGCTCTGGCACCCAAGCCAGGCACTGGCTTTGCTTTTCGTGATGCAAAGATTTCTATTCCTTTTAATTCTACCGTTATGTGCACATTTTCCCCCCGAGTCATGATATAAAAAAAACAAAACAAAACAATAAAACACCTCTACACAAACGTGTGATCTGAGCAGAGTGAGGAGCTGTGGTTCCCAGCAGAGAGCAGGTCTGGGTGCTGGGGGCAGAGTGGAACCCCATCCTGCTCAGCTGTATCTAAATAACCCCAAACTGACAGCAGGGCAGAGAAAACACCTTAATCACTGTAGCTAAATCCACCTGTGGCCATTAATCAGGCTCCTAAAAATATATGGCCAGGTTTAATCCCAAACCGCGAATTTACCAACCAAAGAATTATCAGAACAGACACTTCTAAAATAAAGGACCATTCAAATCACTCCTGTGTACCAACAGACCTCAAAAAGTGCTCCAAAGGTGATTTTTTTTTTCTTGCAGACCAAATGAAGCCTATTAACAACAGCCTGATTTCCTTAAGGACCCTTCAGGAGTAGCATGAACATCTCCCCCTCCCCCCAACCCCATATATCACCCAATTGGTTAAGAACAGACTTCCAAAGGACGTATAAAATAACATAAAAAGATTTCCAAACTCCATCCATTGTGGCTTAGCAGCCTTTCTATGTGTATATTTTCCCCTGTAACGCCAGTTAGAGTTTGACAGGAGAAATGCAGAATAGCACTGTTTTAACCTAATGAGCCTTAATGTGTGCTCATCACGTTTGGCAGGAAACATGGGAGAGGAGAAGAGACTTCTTTTCCTGATTGCTCCAAGCTTTGTGTCTATTATATATAATAAATTTGCATTAAGCAGGCCGGTGCCATCAGCAGTGTATTTCTTATTGCAGATGCCCCATCCCTGGAGGTGGCCAAGGCCAGGTTGGATGGGGCCCTGGGCAATCTGAGCTAATAAATGGCAACCAGACTATGGCAGGGGGAGGTGGGACTAGATCATCTTTAAGGTCCCTTCCAATCTTAGCCTCTCTATGATTCTATGAAGCAATGAGGGAAAGGATGTCATCTCCCCTCCTGGCAGTGGGAAAGAGCCCATGGGATACATCAGTGCTGTGCGTGCACCAGGCACATCCCATCCCACATAGAGCTCTATCCCAACCACTGCCATTGCACGACAAGCAGTTCTTGGGTGATGTTTGCCTCCATTACTTGGGCTCAAGTTGAGGTCAGTTCCCATTTTTCTGGAAGTTGCTGCTGAAAGACAAACACTGCAATGGGGGATGATCAACTGAAAGAGGCTGAACGGATGAAAGAAAGGGGAAAGGAAGGGTGATACAGCATCTAAGCAAGTGGCACTGGGACAGAACAAACATGTCATTGCTAAATATATGCTTTGGATTGATTTCATTTATAACTTCAGGCTAAGATAAGGGCCAGCACAGCTGATAGGGAAGGATTTTGCTTTCCCTTTCCTAAACTTCTAATAATCCTTGCAAAGCATTTGGAAAAAGCTGAGCTGATCATGCTACCTGAGTTTCACCAAACACACAAGGTAGATGTGGCACTGAGGGACATGGGCGGTGGGCATTGTGGGGATCGGTTGATGGTTGGATTTGGGGATTTTAGATGTCTTTTCCAACCTTAATTATTCTGATTCCATGCATTCAGGAGAATTCATAGGTATCTGCTGCAAAAAAGCTATCTGACAGAGGACTTTAATTATCTCAGCTTACTCTAGGATAAATCTCTCATCTTTTTTCTCCTCTCTTATAAAAATAGCAAAACACAGAGGGTCTTCTGTTAGAAACTCAACCTATTGTATCTCTTCCCTTGTTTCTCCAGCAGCCTCCAGCACTGGAATAATGCAGGCAGTCCCATGCATAAGCAGATGCAGTAGGAGCTAAGGATGCTCACACCATGTCTGCTTTGGTGCAAGGTTTTGGAGTTTACAGTCTCTGTCCAGTGTGCAGTACTTTCACCTCAGTGTCAAATCCATCTGCTGTGCCTGCCCCAATGGAGCTGAGTTTGCTGATTCTAAGCTGCAGGGAAGCTGACTGGAGTACTTGTCACAAGAAGACAAGACACATGCTCAAATCCCTTTTCCTAATACTGCCACTCAGCCCTCCCTCCTCTCCTCAGGCTTTAATCCAGGCACTGAGTGAGAAGGAAGGAGCAGGCTTCCTCATCCATACCTGACATCACCACTGCTCAACCTGGGTACCAGGAGAGGACAGTCCCGTTGGCACAGAGGAGCACATGCATCCTCTCCCTTCTCCATGTGGCAGAGATGGGTTTGCCTTGGCCATGCAACCTCCCAGTGCTTCTTCTCCCACCAGTGTGTGCTGGGCTGGAGAATGTGAGCAAAGGGAAACATTATCCCCAAAGAGCCAAAGGTTTAAAGGACTCCCACCGCATAGTAAATTATGTTGTCTTTTCATCCCTCTCTCAAGACACTCAAGTAGACTTAACAAGCCAGTGGGGACTGGAACAAGAATATCTCCGTATCTAATGCTTACTGTAAGCAAAAGGTGGATTACAAAATAGTCTGTTTGGTTTTAATTATTGGTGTGTTTGAGCTAGAAAAACCTTCACAGAGTTGCATGTTGTTTGTCATGGATGGAAAGAGGATGAACTATTGAGCAGTGAGATTAAAAACAGTAATTATTCACTCCAGGCATGACCTTTGCTTTTTCTTCCAAGGGGATAGTATGAATTTTTCAGAGCTTGTGCTGTGGTAAGGGCAGGAAGAGTTGGAAAGATGGAAGGGATCAAGGTCTTCTTCCTAGTTCTGCCATAAGCCACTTTGCTGTTCCTCAGTTTCCCTGTTGCCTTAGTGCTCCAGTTCTTGAGCAGGACTGAATGAATCATGTGCAGCTGGCAAAATGCAGCTTATTGCACTCCCAGCCACGGAGGTCAGCCAAATCCAAAGTCTAGGAGATGTTGGCTGAAGTTGCCCAACACTCCCTGCGCTGCCTTCGCCAGCCTCTCCTGTGCAATGCCATGACCACCTCAGCAAAGAGAGATGAATGCTCTTCACAAGGCTACTGCTGGTCAAAGCACGACAAGATGGGGAGAATTCCTTGCAAGGCTGTGTGCTTTGGACCCCTATAAAGCTTGAGCGGGTTGCTGTACCCCTGGCACCCATGCCTCCCCAACTTGCCCCGCTTTCCCCTCCCCAAGGATCACCAGGGAAAATGCCTCCTGGGACTATTTTCAGTGCTCTCCTTGTACCACCCAGGAGGAATTATCTGCCTACTTCAGCTCTCTGCTAATCCCTAAATTGCATCCGAACGGCGAAGCTTAGTTTATTCTCATTTCATCTGGTAGTTTGAGTATTACGAAGGGATGAAATGGGCATGCAAAGTGGCGCTTTTATTTTCAAGAGCAGTAAAAAGTGTTTTATTTTTAGGATGCTCTTATTGAGGAAAGAATCTCTGGCAGGTCTTATCTCGTGGCTAATAATAGTGACCTCGCGTGCCCTGAGCAGTGCTGGCGTTGCCTCCTGCCTTCCCCGGCCGCCTGCTTTACATGCATTGCTTCTCATCAGCTCCTTAGAGGCTCTGAAATTACTCAGTCTAATAATCTAATAACAGAATTTGCTCATAATTGTTAACAGCTTCTGCTCTGTGTTATTAGTGATGGGGTAGCACTCGTAATTAGACAGCCTAAATGCATGCTGCGTGCAGGTTTTCTCTGCTGCCTTGGAAAGCCATCCCTATGTTACCTTCTTTAATATCCATTTGGAGATCCTGAGAGGGGGCAGCTTGTGGCCAGAGCACCCTTTTAGATGTAAGCACCTGTTCAGATGTAAACTATCTGTTTACAAGCAGTTTCTGCTGTTAACTTCATTATAAATTTTACTCCCTACACACAGAGCATTTTCTTCCACAGGCTGTTGATAGCAAATAAGTCAGATTCTGAATTCAGTTTGCATTAGCATTAAACTAGTGTGATTCCACCGGTGACGGTGGTGCTTCTCCTGGCTTGTGGTCACTGTTTGTCCCTACACACATCAGCACCTGAGTGCACCAAGTGCATGTCATAAAAACACACGTTGTGTTGTGTCTTTTCTTAAGGCAGAATTTGCAGGAGCTGTTACACTCCAGCATGGTGTTCCTGCAGCTTGTCATCAAAACGAGAAGCATGCTTGAGAAAGTATAAATAGAAATTCATTTTAGTAATGCAAATCCTGCAGTCCTATTCTGGGCAGGGAAAATCCCTGTATCATTTTTTTAAAGAGGTGCGATGGTCTCGTTTTAAGGCAGGGTTTATTGGGGATTCACTCAACCTGTGCATTACGGTGGAGGTTCTTCCCCACCATTTAAATGTATTTGTCTCTGATCAACATAACCTTTTTGAGCTATAAATCCTTGCAAATTACTTTGGGGTATGGCCACCTCCACTTACTCTGTCATATTTACTTAAGCATTTTTTTTCCAATAAGTCCCCTCTTTTCTTTTTTTTTCCTACACTGCAACAGGAAAATAATAAAGCAAAGAGAAACAAAGTTTTGGAACTAGGTGATCTTACAGATCCCTTCCAACCCAAACCATTCTATGATTCTACGATTTAATTATTCTTTTTCCCAAATTCCAACATTGAGTATGTCCATTGGGATTTCCCTTGTACAAATGACCCCAATCTGGTTTTGAAGTCATTTATACATTGTGCACTCATTTCTGCACTTATAGTTGGGGCATTGTATGAAATGGTGCATCATTTTGCTTCCTGTAAACCTGCTGCATTCCTGGGTGTTTGAATCTACCTTTACTGCATAGAATAGGACTCAAGAAATGTAGAAACAGTAACTATAAGAAAGGTGAGGAAAATAAACTCCTGATATCCAGACTATACTTAAAACACCCCGATTTCTAATGTTTATCGCCTTCTTTTGATTATAAATCATCCATCTCAGTATCTTCAATCTCCTGTATGTATCTTGCTTCTCTGCATAATGACTTTGCAATGCCTTCTTTCCATTAGTTGGCGAACACCAGTTGACGGGGCACAAAGTAGCAGTAAAAATCCTAAACAGACAGAAAATACGCAGCCTGGATGTGGTTGGCAAGATCAAACGAGAAATTCAAAACCTAAAACTCTTCCGGCACCCTCATATTATCAAGCTGTAAGTACATGTTCTGCTCACGTTCAGCTGACTCCTCTATCTGCAAAGACTTCACACGTTGACTTGTTTTCAAGAGATGTCTTATAGTACAGTATAGTACAGGATGGTAGATGTGTGGTCAGGTTTGTGCATGTTGAAGCCAAAAATGCTGCTTTTTGAATGTCCTCCTGCTAGCTTGCATGGGAGCACAATCCACACATTGAGGAACTGTAGAAGGTGTTTTTCCTATTGGAGTTTGGGCCATTATAGCAACTATGAGACTTGTCCTTGTGCCAAGTTTTGCTCAGCTAAGCCTGCCCAAACATCCACTTTTCCATTCAGGAGTCATTATAAAGGTGCATAGAGAGGATCTGTGCTTTCCTGCATTGGGATGTTATGAGGAGTCTCTATGATTCTCCTTTTTTGGGTCAGTATCTCACGACTTGAAATGATGGAGAATTGTGCCTGAGGAATAGCAGCTTGGGCAGGCTCTTAGAGTGAAGCCTTGGCCTGAAGTCAGTAGGATTTATGTTTTCATGGCCTGATTATCCAGAGCTTAAAGGAACATATATTTTTTTATTTATTATTCAGACGTAAGTTTTCAACATTGCCATTCTGATGAACCTGAATTTGAGTTGTAAATCAGCACCTGCACTCCTGCCTCTGGGGTTCCGTCTCAATCCCTGGTTTGTGCAGCCAGTCCACATTAATGAGGCACTCGATAATATCTTTGGCATTTCTATAAAAGAAAGCTGTTGAACGGTAACTGCAAGGATAAGTTGACATTTAGGTCAGCCTTAAAACTGGCATGAGATATAGCAAATACCTGGGACTTAGAGGCAAGGGAAAACAAATTCTCCCTAAGTTAAATAACTAACCATGCAGCAACTGTTGACTTTAGAGTAACTTCAGAGTTCCGTGGATTTATTGGAGAACAGATTGGTATTATTTCATGAAAAAGGCAGCAAGAGTCGTTGGCTGATCATCCAGCATCCTTCCAGGCTGCACACACATTCATCAAGCAGACCATTAAAGCCTGGAAATTAAATTCAGTTGATCAGTCTCCTACGATAAATACTTCAGCCCTGAAATACACCGATAAAGAGGTGAAGAGGAGTCTGTGGCACATGAGGCTCCTCTTTCAAACGCTTGTGGTGTCCCATCACTTTACATATATATACAAGAAATGGTCGTGCTGTTAACTCAGATGTCTGAGTGCAAAACACTTTAGAAAAGCTACGTTGATCCTATTGATCTTTACTGGGACTATCACCTGTTCACTTGATCACTTCTGAAAATGAGGTCTATTTATCAGCTGTGAAAAATAAATAAATAAAATAACAAAAGCAAACAGTGTGTCTGAAATAAATCACAGGGAGCCTCAGCTGGTGCTGCTATGCATTGCTACTGCTGCTTTGACCTCAGCTCATTGCCATCAGGTTACGCCGGATGGGAAACTGAAGTGTGTTTGTAGCACTTGGGGATCATTTAGTGGAGGTGGAGGGTAAATTTGCACATCAAGGAGGATATTCTTTTACTTTCCCTCACATTTATCATCCTAGAATGTAGAGGAGCTTAATGTTTGAAGGATGATGTTAATCTTGTGGGGTGCTCGTCTTTGTTTCTATGTCTTTCCAAGGTTAGCTCCGCCTAGTGTCTAGATTTCCTTTTTTATATCTTCAGTATGAAGAAAACCAAATATACTCTGTTCCCACTCCCATTTTAATAATTTTTTTACTTTTGGAGATGTTGTTGCACATCTTAGCCAAAATGGAAACTTGAATGTCAGGACAGTCTTAAACGCAATGGGGTTATCTGGCAGTGATTCCAGAGGATTATTTAAAAGCCTGAAGCAAAAGGGTGAATCTGTGAAAGAGATCCTTTCATAGACAAGTGAAAGATTATCCTGACATGCCCCTTGAAATAAGAGATGGCTTTTCAGAAATGGAAAATGATTATAAACACAAGATCCAAGCATGTGCTTATGTTAAGAATTGACTCGAAGCTAATAATCTGTTTCAAAGCCTTTCCCTTTTTTATTAAGATGTTTTTTCTTTGTGTTTTTGAAGGTACCAGGTCATCAGCACACCAACGGACTTCTTCATGGTCATGGAATATGTATCTGGCGGTGAATTATTTGATTACATCTGTAAGCATGGACGTGTAAGTGCCAGTACCACGTCAGCCCCAAACTTTATGTGGGAAGAGGATGGTGGTCAGAAGTAAAACGGCTGCTAAAGGGAAGATAGCTAAGATTTAGGCCCAAAATAGAAGTTGCTTCGCAGCAATCCCATCTGGAGAGTCTCATACTCACACATAACTTGTGTGCCATTTTTTTTTGCAATGTTCCATGTTGTATTTCGATACGCAAACCGAAATATCCAAAGGTAATGTGTTGCTTAGTGAAGACATTTGGAAAACCACCGTATCTTTTTAGTTTTTAGCTATAGGTTGCTTATCCAACCCCCTGGTTCAGCAGCAGATTTATGTGCATGCCGGGCATTGGAGCGGGGAGCACTCAGTGTGGTCTCCATCCCAGTCATTCTCCTCCTCCAGACTCCCCTTTGGCTCCTCATCAGGCTTTTTGAAGACTTTTTAAGGATGTGGCTTATCCGAGCAGCATTTTCAAATGCCAGTATTCCTACTGGGTATAAATCATCTGAGGAGTAGGCTGAGCACTTGAAACATGATATTATGGTTATAAAATGACTAGTGGACATTCTGGTGGGTAGGAAGCAATCAGGGGGCTAAAAAGGACATCCAGAATCGTGCTTCAGGTGAAGGATCAGCCCAGTGTATATATCTTCTCTATACTACAAAAAGTCAGTAATTGTCTTAGAGTAGCTCACTGGTTGATGATCCATTTACTTTCCTACATACAGTTTTTATTTCCAGCTCATCTTGCTCATTCGGATCTTTTCAGTGACCAATTTGCATCCCATCTGAACTCCCACATTCAGAAACTATTTTTTCACACAGGGAAAAACAAAACAATCAGTCTCCTGATCATTTTATATGTAGTTTTTCTGTCTGTATGTATCATTGCTGTATGACACTTTTGGCTTTTTATTTTATTCCCCAAAGCAACCTTCTCCATTCGTCCACGAAGAACTGTTCCCCATGCTAACCTCTGTGGTGTTTTGACATGGTTAATGGGCATGGTGGTGATGGGTTGATGGTTGGACTAGATCATCTTTGAGGTCTTACCCAACCACAATAATTCTGTGATTCTGCTTACAGTGTGTAATAGAAGTGGGCCCACTGGGAAACCAGTGCCTGATAGGTGGCACCGGTAGGCTCTCCTTGATGGCTCAGCCAAATTTATTTTCTAATTTCAGCTCATTACCATCAGCTCTGGGCTATATCATTTGAAAACACTCACTTACAAGGGGGAAATCTATTCGACAGGGGGAAATCTACTTTCTTTGCTGCTCCTGATTCCAGCACGGTCACAAGCGTGCTCTAATTTTATCTCCACACCGTGGAACACTTTTGGCTCCTTGCTAAGGCAAACCTCCCCTGCCCGGCCCCACATGCCTTCAGAACTGTTTCCCCTTGCATCTGTAGGTTGAAGAGGCTGAGGCTCGACGCCTTTTCCAGCAGATTCTCTCCGCAGTGGATTACTGTCACCGACACATGGTTGTCCACAGGGACCTGAAACCAGAGAACGTGCTGCTGGACGCACACATGAATGCGAAGATAGCTGATTTTGGTATGTGACCCCAGCAGCATTCCAGAAATGCAGCCAGCTCCGAGCCGCTTGCTGGAGCGTGTCTGCGTAGCACGCCTTACAAAACCCAGAGTCTGTTTTCATAACCACTTGCAGTTTCTCTACCTGAAAAGCCCACAGTTATAAACACTGGCCTCTTAGCAAAAGCAGGGATTACTTATTGTAGGCTGCTTCTGTGCTCGCATTAATAATGGAGAAGGAAGGTCATTTGCAAATCTTCACTGTGTTTCAGTATAATCACCTAATATAAGGCTTTAGCTAATTTATGTTTAAGACAGACTCGGCGCAGTTAATTTCACAGTGAGTTGGCTGCACGTGTTTATTTTCATGTGTGTTCTCCTTAGTAGTAAGGCCGTGTGCCTTTGGCCTCACTTCATTTTAGAAATGAACAGTAACAAGAGCCTGTAAGTGGCATTACAGATTGAAACCCAACGTAAAAGCTGAGTTGCCAACCCTGTTCTGTTCAGTGCTGTCTAGCAGTGATAAATCCTTTTGAAGATTTACACATTTCACAACCGTTCTGTTCTCTGAAGAGAATTATGTCTCTTTTCTTCTATGGTAAAGAAAGAAAGTTCTGAGGTTTGCAACTCAGAGAAGCGAAGTTAGTTTGGAGTCAATGCTACTTGTTTGGAAAGAAAATAAGAGCTCAAATAGCAAAGCAGCTCAAAGGTGTCTGCTTAGATTACATCAGATTTCTCCTTCCTCTTGCACTATCTCTTCTCTCTGGCTGGATGTCAATACATAGGCAACACCTTGTTTTTAGGACTGTCCAACATGATGTCAGATGGTGAATTTCTACGCACCAGCTGTGGTTCCCCAAATTATGCAGCCCCTGAAGTCATCTCTGGAAGGTAGGACATGCCGCTTCCAATCATGTGAGTATGTGGTCTTTAAATTTCCCCTTGAGATTGGAACCTGCTCGTAGTAAAGCAGCTGAATGGTTCCAGCCAGTGTTTTGTGTTTGGGTGAGTCTACTGGGAATATCTGAAGGTCTTCTTGCTTGTTGTATTTCTCAATGGCTGTAGCAGCAAAACATGTTTTGCTAAAGATGTTTACTTTGGAGGAATTATTAACAGCAGATATTTACTGTGTACATTGCTAATTAAAGGGAATGAAAATTACTCTTTGGGTGCAGATAACGAGGTTTCAGAAAGATAGGCTTTTCCAGACCACCCCTTTCTCTCCTGCCCACCTATATAAAACACAGTGTGAATGAGGAAAACCACTCATCAAGCGAGCAATCAGTATTCTGTTTAATCACTTCCCCACACTGCTAGACTCTTGTATTGAAAATCCTTGTCTTCAAGTTCCTTAACTTTCAGGCTTATTTTCATGACAGCGGGTTCAGTGGCGGTTGCTTTGTCTTGAACTGATGAATTGAACTGACGGAACTGTAGAGCAGTGGCATCTCTCAGGTGCATCCTGCCAGGCTGCAGCAGCTGCTTGGTATGGGGCATTCTGAACGCAGGCTCTAGGGCTGAATCCAGTCTTGCCCCATTGATACGGTCATGCCACCTCCCGTGTTTTACTGTTGAGACCCTAAATTACATTGATTTTCCTTACTCTCTCTGTAAAAGCATAATGGAGTTTACAAATACAGGTTTTTGAATTTACGGTCTTCTGCATGGTCCTTTGAACCGCCCATCTCCTTAGCATCCACTCCATCCTTTTGAACCATTCTTTGCATGAGTGCTACTTTTCATAATCCAGTATGTCTTTGCCTATAAAAATCCAACGTTTTGTTTAATGTTGTGATGATGACTGTTTTATGCCTGTTTACACAGGCACATGTGTTGGCAGAGTATCTTAGGAACTAGACCAGCATCCAAAAGCCTGTTGTGACTACAGTTCTACATATGAAAGCAAGTAAATCCTCATCATCTAGAAGGGCACAAAGCCAGAAACTCTACAGTGATTCAAAAAAATATTATTCCCATGTTTTTTTTTAATAAAGGCCCAAATCACTTTTTTTTTTCTCAGTACATATAGGAGACAGAAAGGAACAACCTGCCATCTCCATCAGGGGTAAATGTGCTGCTGGAGGTGGATATAGCTGAGCTTCTCCCAGAGCAGATCCAGTATATGAGACCTTGTGTTTCAGCATCATTAAAGTGTACATCATTTGGGCTTAAAAGTCCAAGCACAGTTCAAACAATGTGGCTATCAGCCAAAAAATAGGCATCATCCTATCTGTTGAAATCAGGCATAGACCGGTGGGACTTGGAGGTGATTGCATTAGCAGAATGCCCTGACTTTGCTGCTGTCACTGTTCTCAGTGGGGAAAGTCTCAAACATGAGAGCAGAAATGGTATTTTGTTACTTGGGTAGCATTCAAAGAATGAAAGTGTGCATGGTTTTTGTGTACCAGGTGTGCATGTAGCAGAACTTTTCAAGAGGAGCAAGTGCAGGATGATTAGATTTCACAAACAGACCTCTATTGGTTTTTACAGTCCAAGAGTGTCTCCCAGACACTCTGAAAAATCAGCAGTTTCAGCAAAAAGCAGTGAACCAACAAATCAAGCAGGCAAGCAGCAGCAAAACCCATATATTTGGGGTATCCCGACTTGGTGATGCCAGGAAGCACATTAACAGCTTGTCGGAAGCTGGAGCTCTTGCATACCAGCACACAAACTTCAACTGAAAGTAAACACTCAAGAGATATAGTATCTGCTGCTGTTTAATCTGCCTCCGAATGAATAGAAACTGTTGGCTGAGTCCCCCAGCCTCAGGGGCAAGGAAGCAAGCAGCCTGGCAGAGCTCCTGGAAATGTAGGTTTGGGCTTTTTGGTGGGTCTGGTGGAGGTGCTCATTTTCCTGTTCCATGCATCACGAAGGAGCATGAACAAAAAGCAGCTCTGCGTCATTCTCCATCACCCTCGGGTGGGTTTTTGGCTTAGGAAGCCTAAAGATGCAGAGGGGAATGGGAAGGGTTGTGACCCATTTCTCCTCCCTCACATCACACAGGCTGTATGCCGGCCCAGAGGTGGACATCTGGAGCTGCGGCGTCATCCTCTATGCCCTCCTCTGTGGCACTTTGCCCTTCGATGATGAGCATGTGCCTACCCTCTTCAAGAAGATCCGTGGAGGTGTGTTTTACATCCCTGAGTACCTCAACCGCTCCGTTGCCACTCTGCTCATGCACATGCTGCAGGTCGACCCTCTCAAGCGCGCAACCATCAAGGACATCAGGTCAGCCCACAGAGTGGTTTGTAGGAGCTGTCAGTTAATCCAGCTGGGTTTGGTCCTAAGGGATTTAAGGAGCCCTCCTGCACCCTTCTGTGCTGATGGTGAGGCGAGTGCTGCCAGCTGGTGGTGGGTGATGATTAACCTGGACTTGGTGACTTCATTTCTCAGTGGTTTAACCAAAACAAATGAAAATAGGCAATAGTTGCTTCCTGCAACTTATATACAGATAATGCTATCTTAATGCATTATAAAATAGCCTCAAAAATCTGTTAATAGTGCTTAACAAAACCAGCTCTCTCACACAGTAATCCTAGGAACTCAATATTCACCTGCCATTTTTCAGTACTTTATTTCAAGTACATCTCCCTTTGGATACCAGTTCAGAATAAAAGTGTAGTTGTTGCACCTATCTATCCAATAAAAAAGGAAGAGGAAAACAAGAATTACTAGCTAAAATGTCATACACAGTTCAGCAAATGTCTTTAAATGATGCATTTCTTGTGCAGTCAATGACTGTACTGCCCATGAAGGGGAACAATTGGGCACTTAAACAGATATTTGTTCCTTCAGATATCATGAAGTGTTCATGACTGGTAACACAGCTTTGAAAGTTTCACAAACTGAGTAATTCTAAAAATATTGATTTTGTGAAAGTGGAACCCCATATGCATTTTGTGGAATTTATAGTAGTCGTTACTGTAACGGGCTTTAGCAGGGGGTTGGACTGGATGATCTCCAGAGGTCACTTCCAACCCCTATGGTTCTGTGATTACATGTAACTGCCATGCTAAGCATATGCATAAACATCACAAGTACTTACAGGACATCATGGGCTGTTAATACTTTTGCAATTGATGGCCTGAGTTTAACCATTCAAATAGAATCTGAATTATAAATGCCTTCTAAACTTCACGAGTCCTGAAGAGTAGATTTAATTATATATTAGAGCAACAGCATGCATGGCAAGATTACCAACTGATAGGTGGCACCTATAGCCGAAGCTTGCTCTGGCATTTACCCACTTAATTGCCATGGACTTCACTGTAAACCAGTGGGAGTTGTGGGCCTGGGCAGCTTTAAAATATAAGAAGGACATGAAGATATTAGAGAGTATCCAAAAGAGGGTTGCAGAGATGGTGAAAGGTCTGGAGGGTAAGGTATATGAGGAGTGGCTGAGGTCCCATGGTTTGTTCAGCCTGGAGCAGAGAAGGATGAGTGGAAGCCTTGTGCTGGCTACAGCTCCTCAAAGGATATTCTATGATTCCTCTATGAAGTGCTGTGTCTGATGGTGGCCCCTCTCTGCCTTCCCCCAGGGAACACGAGTGGTTTAAGGAGGAGCTGCCCAGCTACCTCTTCCCAGAGGACCCTTCCTACGATGCCACCGTCATCGATGACGACGCGGTTCGGGAGGTCTGTGAGAAGTTTGAGTGCACTGAGTCAGAAGTGATGAACAGTCTGTACAGCGGTGACCCCCAGGACCAACTCGCGGTCGCCTACCACCTTGTCATCGACAACCGGAGGATCATGAACCAAGCCAGCGAGTTCTACCTAGCCTCCAGCCCCCCAACTGGCTCCTTCATGGACGACAGCATGCACATCCCTCCCGGTGTGAAGCCGCACCCCGAGCGGATGCCACCCTTGATAGCAGACAGCCCCAAGGCACGCTGCCCTTTGGATGCACTCAACACCACCAAGCCTAAACCTCTGACTGTCAAAAAGGCCAAGTGGCACCTGGGGATCCGCAGCCAGAGCAAGCCCTATGACATTATGGCCGAGGTGTACCGAGCTATGAAGCAGTTGGATTTTGAGTGGAAGGTAGGAAATGTGCTTTGGGGAGGTTTTCAGTTGTTTTTTTTTTTTGATTATGACTTGAGTTGATCGGGGAGGTCAGTCTATATATGGTTACAGCCTCAGCTGTTTCCAAACAAATGCCCACAAGATGTTCTGTATCTGTGCCATTTATTTGTGGTGTGAATAAGCGTTTTTTGTTGGTTTTTTTTTTTTCCTGAATGCCCTAAGCCGCTGTCTGGAAAGATAATTCTGTCTTGTTTAGCTGCAGGGATAAGAGGAGCTGGTCACATTTCTAATTTTAGTGGCTAATTCCCTGCGAGGTCATCTCGAGTGCTCCCAAGAAAAGCATCTCCTGTTATTTCTGCTTGGGTCATAGTAGTTGCATGTCCTGAAATGGCACAATACATTTCTCCTTGTTCCTACTTATGTGGTGGTTTCACAGTGATGGGTAGCTAAGCTCTGCCGTGCTGCTCTCTTGATCTCCCTCTTCAAAAGAACTAGGGAAAAAATTCAATGAGAAAAGCTCATGGACTGAGATGAGGACGGGAAGATCACTCACCAATTACCGTCACAGGTAAAACATTCTCAGCTCTTCTCAAAAACTCAGTGCAGTTATACGAGCTCTCCTGGCCTTTCACAACAGCCTTGTGCAAGCATCAGCACCAAGAAAAGGAGAATTTCTGCTCAGATATTCATCACTGGAGTCAATATCCTCCTTATTTCATGTCCAGAGGGTTTTTGCTGTGTGAATGACCTCAGCCCTTGAGAAATGCTCAAATTTTGTGCCTGTGCATCTTTAAAGTCTCACATATCCTCCTTATTTTGATAACATTGTTATGTATTTAAAGATTAGTAGCACCCAGAACCTGATTTCATGGCACCGTCGAGGAGATGGACTGCCTCCAGATGCATGTGCCTACAAGAGCCAGACATTTGTTGGCTGAATGGTTTTATGGAGAGCTAACAAACCTAACGTATTTCTGGTACATCTCCACAGACTGATTCAACCAAGTGCCTTTATGTAGGCAGTGGAGCTTATTTTATATGAGGAGGTTTCACAGCAATCTTTCCCATCCTAAGAATAACTTCAGGCGTGACTCTTAGCTCTTCCATCTGTGCCACCACTTGATAAATATAGCACAGAGAAAGGATCTCATTGCGAACGAGATGCAGCAGATTGTGGGGTGGGAAGTGGTGAGAGAAAATGCGTAGCACAGCTCAAGACTGATTGGTGAACACTGTTTAATTCTGCTGATGGGAGAGGCTATGATTCCCTACCATCCATCCCGCCTGGCTTTCCAAAGCATGGTCCTGGTATATGGGTCTGGGAGTGGATTCTGGCTCATTAGGCCTTTGTTGCTGTTGAGGGAACAATAATATTGGTTTGGTGCCTGGAGAAGAGTCTGCAACAGCTTCATCTGCCATCAGGGCTGGTGGATCAGAGCCCCAAGAATTGTTTTCCAAACACAACTGTAAGAGGAAATAGGAGAAGAAGCCATTTGCTTAATTTTTGAAGAATTGCTCTTTCTAAAACCTGTGTCTTGCTAGTCTTTTAAAAAATAATAGAAGGAAATGAATGTTGCTCTTCTTGCCTTGAATGGTATTCCCTAAAGCTGGTTGCCCATTGCAGGTGGTGAACTCCTACCATCTCAGAGTGCGTCGGAAGAACCCGGTGACGGGCAATTATGTGAAAATGAGTCTGCAGCTGTACCAGGTGGACAACCGCAGCTACCTCCTGGACTTCAAAAGCATTGATGGTAAGCAGGAATTGATGCACTGTGAGATGTAGAACACATTAAACAGCAAGCTCGGAAGTTTTGAGGAAAAATAATAGTTCTTTCAGTTCCTGAATGCTTTTGTAGGATGTGATGCTGTTTCAGGTCAGTTATGATCATAAAATATTCCAAGTTGGAAGGAGCCCACAAGGATCGCTGAGTCCAACTCCTAAATCCCTTCTGATCCATTCGTCTCCACTACTGTTACTAGTTCTTTAGTAAAGGGATACCAAACTAATGCTGTTACAATTATTTCTTGCTTTTCCTATTGCCTTAAAGACGAGGTGATGGAGCAGAGGTCCGGCTCATCCACCCCGCAGCGCTCGTGCTCAGCAGCTGGCTTGCACCGGCCAAGACTGAGCATTGATGCTGCAGCAGCCACTGAGTGCCAGTCACTGATGGGGTCCCTGAGCGGCTCCTTCGTGGGCAGCATCTCCTCAGTGCCCCCACGCCTGGGCAGCCACACCATGGACTTCTTCGAGATGTGTGCCAGCTTGATCATGGCTCTGGCTCGCTGAGCCGGGCGCCGGACTCCCAGCACATGGCATTGCACTGTGAGGACCAGCTCCAACGTGGCCGTTGTGTTGTTCTTCTGCTTCCTTCCTTCTCCTCACCACTCCACAGCCTGCAGCACAGAACCAGTTCCTCTGTTAGAAGATCCCAAGTGCACTCAAAGGACACAGCCCCTCAAACGAGGCATTGAGGAAATCAGGAATGACTTCGTTTCACTCGTTAGACCAGAGTGAAATATATATGAGCTTTTTTATCCTGAACCCAATGGGATACGTGGGCAGGGCTGTAAAGTAGCAAACATATCATTGACTTTTGGTAGAGAACTCCCTCCTGGTTGATCCTGAATTCACAGAGCCTTGGGCAAGCATTTCTTTCCCCAGCACACATTGATTCAGGTTGTACCTCCCATACAGCCCCAAGCAGGGGGAGGACAGGGCTTCCTGGAACCTCTGGCAATGCTTTCACCCTAAAACAAGCAGCTGCTGCAAGTACCATCCCACCCTCTGTTCTTTTTCCCCTACTAAAGAAGGGTGAGGGGTGGCATGTGCAAAGCTCCCATTGCAGACATGGGGCAGGATGCTGCTGAGTCCTCCAGATCCGGCTTTGCATCATGGCTTCGGTGCACTTAGCTCTCACATTTCCCGTAGGAAGATTTTGCCCATGTCACCACCCCAAAATCTCTGCCAAAACTGCCTGCCTTCACCTGCCAAGGATCCTGCTGTCCTGATGCAGAACAGGTTGGGACCTTGCTGTGACATGAAGAAGGCGGAGATATCGCAAGCATTTCACTGTTTCTTTGCTACTGGCTGTCTGAAGGACAGGGTTTTATATTTTAAAACAAACAGTGAGGATTTTTCAGGTTAAAATTCTTGTTATTCGAGGGTAAACTCTAGTGCATGTGTGACAATTCCTTTGTTTAAAAGAATGATTACTTCTCATTGCATAGGCTTAATCTAATGGACAGCATTGGCATCTGCTTGGCTTTGCTACGGTATTTAATTCCATTTGATTGCAAAGGAACTTAGTCTAATCAGTCAAGGAACAAACGCTTTATGAACACTTTGCCAAAAAGTCCTGGGAGGGTTATTTTCTTCCTTTTTTGGTTTTGCTTTAAGAAACAAAACAAAGGAGAACGTTAGCAACATTGCTGGTCCCGGGTATGCAGTCATTCAACTTTAAAAACAACCCTGAACCCGTCGTTTTGATAGTTTTTATGTCCCTAGAAGTTTTTTGCTAAGGATTGTTTTTTTTGTACAGTTGCACTTTAATTTATACTTTCCGAAAGTTTCTATAAGCAGCAAGGAGGAGAATGACACATTAAACCTTTTGTACTAATTGTCTTAGGTACTGAAGACAACTACGGGATATTTTTGCCATCTACTGGCAGATAAGTGGACATTTTCAGTGTGAAGTCCCCTTTTTTTAAGAACACAAAATTGCCTTACTTTTGTTACAGATGACATTTTGATTCTCACTAGTATATATTTCCAGCTTCAGTTTTATCAGAAGCCGCACAAAGTAGAAACCTGCCAAAAAAGCATCAGTTTTGCTGTTGAGTTCTTGAATGCAGAATCCAACACAGCAGCGTTCGGATTACAAACAGCAGAACAGTCTCATTTTTAAAGGAAACACTGGACATCTTTGTATTTATCCTAGGTTTTGTAATGGGTTTTTATTATATTATCGTTATGAAATAAATACGATTGGGTAGAGGACAGCTTTGGTAGTGTACCTGGTAGGCATCAGGCAATGTTCATCTCCTGTGCTCTAGTAGGAGCAAGAATGGAGAATCCAGACTCTTCCATACAAAAGAACCAAATCTGAGCAGTGTCCAGCTCCTTAGCAGCTTTCAGATCAGCACTGAGATGTCAGCCCAGCCAGGCGAGCAGCATGGGATGCTTTGGGTGCTGGAGATCAGCCCCTTTGGAAAGGAGCAGGAGAGGGTAGCCAAATGGCCAGGAAAGCAGTCAGAAATTTGGAAGTACCCCTGCTGTGAAACATATTTGACTATAGAAGGTTGTTTAAGTCATCACTCATAATTTAGCATCTTGCCAAGGTGCTTGTCCTGGTGGCCCTGCTGATAATGTATTTGTGTGGAGCATGTAAGGATGTCTTGCCTTAAAATTACCTTTGTCCTCCCCAGCAGGACTAAGTGATGTTCAACAGCAGCACATCCCCCAGGAAGGAATATTTGCCTCCTGGAGGCAGGTGGGATTTCTGAGTGGGGGATAAAACCTTGGGGCACTTGGAGTTTTAGAATCATACAATCACCGTGGTTGAAAAAGACCTGTGAGATCATCTAGTCCAACCATCTATCTACCCCCCTGTATTTCTTCACTAAACCATGTCTCTCAGTACAACATCTAAACGTTTCTTGAACACAAGAAATGGATCTTCTCAGACCCTTACAAACACTAATATATGGATTTGCAAAACCCATCCTGCCAAGGCAACAAGAATGTCTTGGGATTCCAGACAAATACCACCAGAGGCACTGCAGCCTTGAGTCAAGCTATGCCAGGTGGTCACTAGGTGCTCCTGCCCAGGACCTCCTTAGTGAACAACTCATAAAGCTGTCCATTAAACAGCCTTACCCATGTACACTCCAACTTTTGAGATATTTGGAGAAGGTTCACTATTTTTATTTTTATTTTTAATCTTGGCATAGGCTGTTTTCTGGTTCTCAGCTGCTATGAAGCTATTGACCTCCAATTATGCTTTTTGGAGTAAAAGTCTCATTTGTACACTGTTACACTGTGGTCTTTTTTTTTTTTTTTTTTTGAGTTACTGGTACATGCACAACCACCAGGAAAAGCAGGGTGTACGAGATATATTGGAACTAAACAAACTTGAATTCTTCCAAGTGCAATTCCTCACGAACCACTGACAGCTGTGCTTTGCAAGCCACAGATTCATCCCAACAATGCTTCAGCAAAACTAAGCGAGTGACAAAATGCAAAGGATAGAGTTCAGCGTTAACCTCCAGCTTCTGGATGGGTTAATTCAGAAGTGGCTTGTATTGTACTGTTGGCAAACATATTTATGCGCTAGAAATGCGGGGCTGTTTGCCTTCCAGGGGCTGTGCAGGCAGAGGCAGAGGGAGTTTTCTTCTTTCATAGGTCTGAAATGCAGAGTCAGTATGTGTGTCCTGATCATGCATCCAAGCACAAGGATGTGGGCAGGGTTGTACAAAAAATTAAGCAACTGGTTTGTAACTGTGGTATGTAGTTTTTTTTTTGGTGTGATTATAATGCCAATTCATATCAGACTAGATGAAGTTCGAACAAAATAACTGTTCTGTCTACTCCCTTTCATTTTGCTGCTCCTTATCATCAGTCATCTTTTGTGCATCCATGTAGAAGGAAGAGACTCCAGCACAGGACATGAACTCGTGCCTTCCCTTTAGGGCTCCTGGAAGATGCAGGTTCCCATGGTGCACGAACCCCACAGCTCACAGAGTCGTACTGGTGAGACCTGAAGGCTGTGTGCCTAAATACTTGAAGTACCATTTGCTGTGCAGTTTTTAGCTTCACCCTTTTAGTGGTTCACAGGAAGGGGAGAAAAAGAATCTCCCATCAGTCCTCTTCCAATGAGCCATACAAATCCCTGTTCCAGCTTCTGTAGTGTTTTTGCTGGAATGTCTTAGGATCCATTTTTTGTGTAGCTGTTATGGTCACCTTTCTTCGGGGCCTACTTTGGCATGGGCTCTCCACTTCATGCTTTCCTTTGGCTTTCTGAGCCCTTCTTGCGTGAATTTCTCTTCATCTTTTATTTACAAAATGGAAACAACCTCCTGTAATTCTGAATTTTCAGTCCATCTCTCAGACTTGTGTTTAGTGGTTCATGGAATCGCCAAGGTTGGACCTCCAAGGTCATCCAGTCATTCAACTACCACCAATATTCCCACTAAACCATGTCTCTTAGTACAACATCTAGAATTTTCCTGAACACCTCCAGGGGTGGTGACTCAACCACCTCCCTGTGCAGCCCATTCCAGTACCTGAGTAGAGAAGAAATATCTCCTAATATCCAATGTGAACCTCCCTTGGTGTAACTTGAGGCCATTCCCTCTCATCCTATCATTATGCAGGTGAAGAGGTTGACCTCCACCCTGCCACAGATTCTTTTCAGGGAGCTGTAGAGAGCTATATTCAGAGCTTTTCCTCTCTTCCATGCCTGAAAGATGAACTGTTTTCAGAATTCGACCAAATGCTGACTTTTGCAGCAGAACTGATGCTGCATGCACACAATGCTCGTGTCTTTGCTAGATTTGAGAATCAGGAGAACTGGGCAGTCCACCAGAGCTCTGGCTGCAAAGCACGAATGAAGTTACAAAAGCAGTCTGTTTCCAACAAAAGCCTTGAAATTCCTGCTGAAGCTGCCTTAATTTAAAGACAAAATCAAAGTTAATTTGTAAGATTCATCTCTGCACCTTTTTAATTTGAGATATTTATCCTCATCTCACTAAGCTGTGAAGTAGGCACTGTAGACATGGTAATATATATCCTTGTTGCTGAAAGCATGTTCATGTATTTTGTATCATGTTCTATTCATGCATTTTGTACCTCAGTGCATTTGTGGTTTGGTTTTTTTCGAGCTCAAAGCAAAACTGAATCCTAGGATGACTGTAGTGCCACATCCCAGCAGTCAAGGGCAGACAGTCCTCACCTCCACAGGATAGGAACCAGATTGGCCCGTTGCAATGTTTTGGTTGTTTGTACTACAAAGAGCATTTATGATTTTTCTTCTGTTAAGATACTGAACTGTAAAAGCTCCGAGCAGCGACATCTCTTCAGACATATCACTGATATGAAGCTCAGAAAAATACTAAAGTCTATGGCTCCTCCATCTTTCTCAGCACTTTCTCAGCTGATAGGGAAAGTGTTGTTGATCAAGTCATTGAAATTGACACTTATGTCTAGCTATAGCCATGGTGGAAGGGCACAGAGCCTGGGTTCAGTTTTGTCCTTTGTACAAGTAACTGTGCGTTAGATAATCACAAAGAAGCCTTTTACCTTCTGTTGATGGTGTGGAAAGTGGTTCTCAGTGTACTACACTGCATGTGATAGGTGTCTCTGTGGTTGACATTTGCACTTTAATAAACTCAGAGATAAAAAAAGACAAAAGTACTCAATTCTTTCAACTAATGGAGCTGGACAAAAGGACACGAAAGAGAGTTAAAATACATACAAGCGTAACAAAAGCAGCTTCTCTGAGCCAGAATACACATCCTGAGCCAGGCCCAAAGGTTTTCTTCAGTTTTAGCATGCATCCAGTGGAGCTGATGGACCTGACTGACATAGCACTGAAATATTTTAAAGATGTTTTGCAAAAATAATCCTTCATTACAGAAAAAAAAAGAACTTGGAAGATGATTTAGGGCTTGTTCATGTATGCCTGTGATGCAAAGGGATGCAAATCCCATTAAAGCACAAAGCTGCAGCAAGCACTCCAGCATCATCCCTATCTGCACACTTCTCTAAT